AATTTGATACAATCTTCTGCATCCTAAATATAAGAAATTAATTTGTTATAAATCTCCTTCAGGCATCCCTGAGAACTGAATCAGGCCAGAGTTCTTTAATAAAACACAGCTGCAAACGAAACAAATTACTAAATCAACATGCTGCACAGATCTGGAATTCTATTTCTAGGAACATAACCTGAAAAGCCCTGGAATGTAGATCACTTTGAATGCACTGCTGAAGTGGTGTTTACAGAATGAGCAAGACAAAATTATCACAGAGTTATTTAATCTTTGTTGCTAGAATATTTTCAAGCAAAAAGCACTATATAGAAGGGGAACTAGGAGACACTTTGAAACCAAAATAACCTACCTGATGGATCCTTCCGAGAAGCTTTCACACTCCTCAGGTGTGATCAGACCTCCTGTGGTTTGTGGCAATGAACTGAAATAGTCACTTAAAATGTTAATTACCAAGTTGCAAAGCGCTGGTTCTAGCTATGAAATAGCAGCAGCTTTCCCCCCAGAGCTTTCCTTGCACTTTTGAAAGGAAATCTTTGTGTGTTCCGGACAGGTGAATGTGCTTCCTTCTTGGCAAAAAGCTGCAAAGCAAAAGTAACACATTACCTGGGAAGGGGGAGTCACCACTTGCGCAAGGAGATGAATCTTCTCTTAAAGCAGCAGCAACAGGCCTGCTAGGCTGGGAGTGTCTGTCCCAGCAGACTCAGGTATCCGGGTGTCTCAAGTGAGCTGAATCTGGTGATGGTATCGAAGAGTCTTCCTCTTGCTGCACAGTGGACCAAAGTAAATTGAATGGTCAAAATTAACTAACTAAGGCAGAGACAGCCCAGCTGCTGTTGGCATCTGTAATATTTCACCTGTTTACCCTGGCATTGAAGCCAATAACTTGTGCTTGGCTAAAGCCTGTATCCCCGAAATGCCACCAACCTTACTGTGAGAAGCTCAAGAAATGGAGAATCCACCACGTCCCTTGTTGGCTTCTTGCAGAACTTAATGGTGCTGGGCTTTAAAACTGTGAGCCTGGTTTCTAATACTCACTTGTCTGCCTCAGTTTGCCTCCAATGGTTCTTATTCTGGTTTTCACATACAGATTAAATAGCCCTTTAAGAATCCATATTTTTTGTTAATGAAGGTTAAGTCACCTCTCGCTGTAAGGCTTGTGAACTCCAGAACTTTATACATAGGCTTGATATAATATTATATATATAACATTTGTATATGTAGGAAAACTTCAGTGGACAATATTGGTGTTTATTTGTCCATTTTCCACTGCACTCTACCCCCATTTTTATCTATTTAAATTTTCAGAGTTGTGAACAATTATGTGTTTAAATATTTTTGTTCTTGATTTTAAATGTGCATAATTTCAGGAATTTTTTTTGAAGGGGGGATCAGATGATAGTAAATGTTGAAACTCAAAAAAGTTATGAATGCTAAAAAAAACAAAATAGAAGCTCACATTCTAAAATACATAAAGAGAATATTCTTAAACAAACCCCTAATAAGTTCTCAAGCGATGTCTTCCTCACTGTGCCTGGCTGTGCGGAGAGAGACACCGACCGACAAAGGTCTGAGCCTGCTAAGCCCCCGTACCCAGTATCCTACCAGTCTCAGCAAGGCCGACTCCCCTGCTCACACATCCAAGGGTCTCCTTAGCAAGGCTCAGATTTTGTCACAACTTATTTTGAGAGACAGTTGCAGACAGGCCACGGGCCGTGAGAAAAGCAAACAGAACCCGCGAAGCCCGTGATCTGTCTGTGACATTCACTAAAAAATGGACAAAATGGGGAGTGAGGACTCTGGGGTCCCTGCCACGGCTGGTGGCTGCCTGTGGGACTTCCCTACCAATCCTCAGACCTTTGCCCACAGCAGCTGGGAACTTGGATCTCCCCCGCCCTACCCACTGTGGGTTGGAGCGCCAGGGTCAGTGGCTAGGAGCTGCGGGGGCCCCGCCACCTGGCGTCCCTGCCATGGCTGGTGGCTGGGAGCTGCCTGTGGGACTTCTCTACCAATCCTCTGACCTTCGCCCACAGCAGCTGGGAACTCGGATCCCCCCTGCCCTGTCCGCTATGGGTTGGAACTGCGGGGGCCCCGCCACCTGGTTGTTGAAAGCTTTGGGGTCCCTGCTGGCTGACAACCCAAGCCCTATGGCCTGGATCCGAAGCAGAACAGGCCACGTAGGTCTCTGCCGGCCACAGGGACTCCAGGACATGCTCAAAGCCTCCACTTGTCCCCCACAGAACAAACAGCAGAAAAATCTCTTCCCCATTATTACTGGGCCTGAAGGCCGGAGCCTGCAGGCCTGGCATGGAGCCTTAGCACAGCAGGGCCGTGGCTGTGTCTTTAAGAGATGCCTCCAACCTCTTCCCATGATAGCGAGTGAGATAACTGCCCCTTTGCACAGCCTGCCTGTGCCACTGCACTTTTGCTTTCCCTCTCGCCCGGGCTGCAGGCGGCAGGCACAGAAATCCCTTTGGAAGGGATGGAAATGGCGTGTGAAAAGGGCGAGGAAAAGCCGTGAGACCGGAGAACTCCGCAGCTGTTCTGTAGCCAGGGGCTTGGCCGGGCAGGGGGATGCACTGAAATAATGACTTGGAGTGTCAATCACTGCAGCAGAACCAGGGCAGTTTGATCCCACCCTGCAGACGGGGACAGTTCTCTGAAGGATCCATCAGGTGGGTTAATTTTGCTTTACAATGACCCTTCTAGGCAGCGGTTCCCAACGTTTTCCAGATGGGGACCCCTGTTAACTATTCAGGAAGACCCAGGGCAATTCAAATATGGGGGGAGGGGGAGGGGCAGAGCCACCTGGGGAGACACTTGGTGACCCTTTTGAAATATGACCCATAGGCTGGGAAACCCTATTCTAGCCCCTCACATACGCTGTGTGTTGCTTCATCAGATTATTTAATCAAAGGTTCAATAATCCCCTGAGATTTGTTTTACTCTTTCTGTGACCCCACATCACAGGGACACTGAAAATGATTTATACGCCGGTGCGGTTCCGATCGCTTTCCTAGCCACGGAAATCGGGATTTAAGACTCAGGCGGAATTAGTTGTTTGTTTCTCTTGTGGCTTCCATGGGCTCTGGGTGACAAAGGCAAGGGGAGGTGTTGCCTTCCCAAAACGACCAGGGAGGAGGGCCGCATTACTGCCTGGCTACTCCAACAGAGCTGCGCTGGAGCAACATGGCTGCCCAGCTGCTCCCGGCCTGGAGCTGGGGGGATCGTGGTGGGACTGGGGTTGCTTGGTGCTGTCGGTGTGTGTGTTGGGGGGAGATGGGGCTGCACATCTGCCCAGCACTGAAGTGGGGGAGTGTTACTGCTAACCTTGGAGAGGGCCAGCAGCCATAATGAGAGGTGCAGGGTTGGAGCCAGTGGCCAGGTGGCATGGAAAGGCAGGTCCTTGGGTGGGAGGGGCCTGCCTTCCCCAGCCAGACATCGATTTGCCCCCCACCCAGGGTGGTTGTGTTTCATTCTAGACCACTGGGCCTGATCCTGTTCTCAGCGGTGTCTGAGGGAAATTTATCACAAAATAACTTCCTCTATTTAAAATACTGGCAGAGACGTACGGTGCCTCACCCAGCTGCAATCAGTCTGCCTTTCTGCCTGTTCATTTGAGAGTCATTTGTTTCTGATACTTTTAAGTGGGAAAAAGGAAACAATTATTTCCACAATAGGGCCAAACAGAAAATTCATCCTGTTCCCCTTCTGACACAAGAAGGAGCCAAGCACATTCCTAAAAGAGATCTCAGTTCAGTTGTACTGTTGGATACAAGTAATTTAAAAAAGAGGCATTTTATACCCTGATCGACAAGTATCTCCGACTGTGTGAGCAACCATTGGAAGGGAGATACCTGGAGAAATCCATCAAGTTAAAGCTAGTCAACAAATGGAATCCGTGACCTGAAATAAAAATGTTAAATTATTTTTGTTTTAAATATTTTATAGACTTTTTTATTTTAATCAAATATTATGGAAATAAATCTATAATCTATTTATTTCCATTTTCAGGAGGGGGAGGATGTTCCTAGCAAGAATAAGAAAGGGAGTTAATAAAATATTTTCAATTTACTTGGCTAGGATTCCCATGTTGAATCAATGAGAAATGTCTCTTTTCTCATTGAAATGATCCTCAAGAAAAAAACAGAAACATTCAACTCATAAGAAAATGAATGGTAATGCTTTTCTGAAACTCATTTTTATCGAAAAATCATTATAACATGTTTTTAACCAGTTACCGTGTTATCAGATCAGAGCTTCCAGTCCCCAGTCATCTGCTAGTCCTCTCTGGGAAACCTACTCTCCTTTGAGAAGTTTTTCACTCTTCATTTAGGCCTTGTTGGATATTGGGCAGCACACGACCCTCTCTAGGCAGCACACAACAGTTGTTTCCATGAGGAAATTGGTGATACAAAGCAGATCGATTGTTGGTGTCAACGTCTTTATTTACAGAACAGATACCCAAGTGTTCCAACAGCCACACTTGTCCTGATACTGGAGTCCACACATTGACTTTATCTCTGCTATTGAGGGGTTTTTCAGTAAATTATTGTTTTTCTTTTTGTCTGAGAGAATAGCCATTTGGGGTGTCCACATGTTAGCCCCCACAAGGACAATACTGAGAAGGTGAGGTGGGCTGGTGGCCCAGTAGAAGGGGTGTGTGGCAGGCATCAGCTGCAGACTGGATGAAAATGGACGGCTCTGCTCACCAGTCACTAGGCACCTGCGTCTGTCTCGTTTTATGGATTTTCTTAAAACAAAGGGGGTTCTGCCCCTTGGTGTGAAGAGTATTTCATGAAATGCCAGAGTTGATTGGAGGCAGCATCCAAAGTGAATGTGTTAATCAGAAGCAGAGAAATGCACTGAAGTTGCATGTCAGGCCTCCTTCTGCGTGGCCATGAATGTATCCCGCTCAGAAGTGGCTGTGTTCCCTGAGCCCAGGTTGTCTGCAATCACTGTGACTGTTACATTCAATATGTTACTTTTTGTTGTTGTTTTCTCTCTTCTCTCCCACCATCGGGATCGTCTCAGGGAGAGATGAAAATTCTCTCTGTCTATGACAGCTCCAGAGCGAGATCCTCTCTGCCTCATTTCATCGTTTTCTTCCTCACATGTTACGTGCACAAGCTGGAATCAGGTAGGAATGTCCGTGGCTGCTTCTGCATCTTACAGGATTGATTTACTTGCTTTGATCTATTCAGTCTCCCTGAGTCACTATTTGACACAAACAGAAAGGAAAAACAGCACCAACTGCTCAGTGTATCAGCTCCAGTGCAAACAAAGAGTCATTGTTATGAGCCGGGTGAAACTTTGTTAGGGGTTGAATTTCAAATCTCAGTCACACTGCCCTGGGAATGCCAGCTTTCCCTTAGCCCAGCTGTAAGTGTTACCCTCCTGCCAGGGCTGGGTTCGATATCTAGGGACTCTTCCCCAACCATCCAACACAGAACTGACTCCAGCCCCCACCCAGTAACTGGGGAAATTCACACACCACTCCTAGGTGCCTCTGGGAGCAGCACTCCCCCCTCGCACGCACTGAGTCTGAGTGTGGAAAAGACACTTTTAATCAAAAGGCGGGAAGTGATGTGGGGTTAGTTTGGGAAAACACCACAGAGAGGCTCTTAAAGACAAACCACGAGTGACAGCCCAACCCCAAGCAGGCCGGGCGATGTGCCTTCCCCTCAGGGTCTTAAGTCCAGCAACACAAACGTCCCTTTCACACCCCCCCCCATGGTCTGCCCACTCCTCCCCATGCTTGCCGAGGGGGCAGGCTGGAACTGTGTGCCTCTTGCTCTGCGGCTGCTCCTACAGAGGTGAGGGGTGGCTGCCACTGGGGCCTGGGAGGGGCA